AGGGGTCTTACTCAGCAAACCCACTTCCTCCCTCATACCTTGGGGGAGCAGGACTCAGAAGGTGCTGGACACAGAGAATAAGTCTCAGCCGGAGCTGGGAAGCAGAAAAAGGTCTTTTATGCAGCTGGGAGTGGGAAGGGGCACGTCAGAGGACCCTGGCAAAAAAGTGGGGAGCTTCAGTTAGTTAATAATCTAACAGATCTTTGTCCTGGGCGCTGGGAAACAATAAGGAACAAAGCGAAGTTTTCTGCCCTGGTGGGTCTAATGCTCTGGTGGGGAGATCCAGGCAATAAACCTACTCACAGATATAAGAGTGGTAGGAGACAGGGCGATGGGGACTGGGGGGCTGGGGCACGGGCTGTTCCACCTCAGAGGCTGATGGCTCCTCTAAGGAGGTGACATTTGAGTAGAGACCTGATGGATGAGAAGGGACCAGCCAGGTGGAGCTGGCGGGGGGTGGGGGGGGGCCTTTTTCATTAAAAGCAGCAAGTGCAAAGGCCCTGGGGCAGGGGTGGGCTTGGCTTCCTGGTGGAACAGCTACTAGTGCATGAAACAAGGACCGATATAGAGGGAGGTGGGAGAGGGTGGCCGGAAGGCGTCAGATGATGTTCCCCTTACGGACTGTGGGGAGAGCTGTGGATTTGATCCGGGACTCGGGGGAGCTGTGGGAGGGCTTCAAGCTGAGGGAGAAAACATGATGAGACTTAGGGCTTTAAAGAACCCCTCTGGCTGCTGCGTGACACACAAGGTACAGGCACGAGCCTGAAAGATGAGCAGCCGGTGAGACGGCCAATGGTTGAAGAGCGATGGTGGTCCCAGTGGCAGTCACAGCGGCGGGGGCCGAGCAGATGGAGCACAGCTGCCAGGCTCAGGACATGTTCTGGCGGTGCCGCTGTCCACATCGGCTGGTGGGCTAGGACGTCAGGATGAGAGGAACAAAGGACAGCGCCCAGGCTTTTGGCCCAAACCCCAAGACAGAGCAGACAAGCCTTTGAGGGATGAGCTGGCCACCCGACAAGTTGGTGGGAGAGCCAAGACCAGAGAACCCCGGTGTCCTGAGTAGCCTGGGACCCGTGCCCCTCCCCAACCCCTTAGCACGTCCCTTAAATAGAATGTCAGCTCCCAGTCCAGCAGCCCGGCCACCAACGTCCTTGAAATGACCCTTACTTGAGGCTGACGCTCTAGAGCCCCGTGCCTGAGAATACCTTGCAAGGCCACCTGTGCACCTGGCGGCCTGTATGACTGCAGCCTTGATGGATGGAACATAAATTAGTGACTAATTATAATTGCCACCAATTAGTGCCATGGCAAAGGCTTGGTTCCTTTCCACAGCTCAATTATCACCCAGGTGCAATAGCCTATGATCCAATCAGGGCCCAGGGAGTGCCTTTGTTTGGAGGTTTAACCAACCTAGTGACCCCAAGACACAGCAAGTGTCTGTTCCCCAGCACGTAGACTGTTCCACAAGCGGCAGGGCACCCAGGGGTGGCTGGGCCAAGGCTGCCAGACCGTAGCTCGCTCTGAGGACCCTTGTTTAAGGAAGGAACTGGTTTATTGTGCAGAAGCTGAAACATCAAACTTCAGGACTAGGGGTGGCGGGGGAGGGGGAGGGGCTGCGTCATGCTGAAGGGCAGCCGCCACTACTGTTGCCTATATTAGTGCGCGGCAGGGGAGACCAATTCTGTAACATGCGCTGGGGCCCATCATAGCCAGAGCCCTCTCCTCTCAACTTTGTGAGGTGACTCTGTTTCCCTTTTTCACCTGACAGAGGATGAGCTATGCACTCAAGGTTAGATGTACAAACAGAATCCCTACCCCGATTTGTCAAGTCAATTGAACACTCATCCTTTGTGCCGGGCACTAGTCTAAGGACTGGGGATAGAGCAGTGACAATGACTACCCTTATAAAGTTTGTATTTCAGAAGGAGAGACTAACAAATGAGTATGCAAGAGAGCGGAGGGTTCTGGGAGAAATCAAATGCAGTGTTGAAGGGATAGAGAGTAACGGCGGTGGCTGGGAAGCCCTCTCTGGGTGGGAGACGTTTGAGCAGAGACCTGAATTAGGAGGAGGAGCCTCATGTGAAGATCTGGAAAATGAGCCTTCCAGGTCGTGGAAACATCCAGTGCAAAGGCTCTATAGAAGGAACATTCTAGAAAGGAAGGTCAGAGATTTGGCCAGGGGCCTCCTGGGTCATGGTAGGGTTTTGATTTCATTCTAGTGATGACAGATTTCAGGTCTACATCATCTCCAAGGAAAGAAGAGAGCGAAGTGCAGGAGTCCCGGCTCCAGACATGGAGACGTTTCTGGGGTTGGGAGCATTGGAATCAAGGAGCGAGGGAGACTCAGGGGAGCCAGGATGACAGCATGCGGTCCCTGCAGACCACTGGGCCTCAGACTCGGCTGTGCCTGCTCAGAGACGGGTTCCAGGTCCCGTGCCGGGCCTGCTGGACCAGAATCTCTGGGGGGTGGCATGCGCTGGGTCTGAGAAGTTTCATGAGCAACACCCCTTCTGTCCCCGCCGATTTGGAGCCAGTTGAGAGATTTCAAAGGAATGAGGTAGGCGGAGCTCCAGCGTCAGCTGGTAACTGGGGAACATGGCGGTAGTTTGGCTGGTTGAGTGGGCAGACAGGCCCCACCCGAGGGAACCTAGCTGCCCTGCTGACATCGCTGCCTGCTGGAGTGGGCAGCCAGTCCTAGAGAGCAGAGAAAATATCGGACAGGAGCCAGTCACATAAGTCACCCTCCTGCCCAAAAGGGCAGCGGGGGAGAGGAGGCAGGTAGAGAGGTGGGACGCCTGAGGCCAGGCAAAGGGGGGTCCCATATACCCTCCAGGGTCAAAAAATGGAGCCCTCTTTTTTGACGAGCTTCTCAGATAATGCTGATGTTCTGTCGGACTTGGGAATCTGTTTCAGACAATGCACATCATCACACGGCCTGTACGAATGTGGGTGCGGATGAGCTGGATACTGAGTCCTTGGGACTTTCCCTCTTTGTCAGAAAGATCCCATTCCTGGTCATGGCACATGCCTGGGTTGCAAAGTCAGTCCCAGGTCAGGGCACGTACAGGAGGCAGCCAATTGATGTTTTTCTTCCACGTCAATGTTTCCCTCTCTCTTTCCCAACCTTCCCCTTCCTCTAAAATCAATAAGCATGTTCTCAGGGGAGGGTAAAAAAAAAAAAAAAAAAAAAGGGCGGAGTGAAATAAGCAACATGGTAAGCATACGAATTTCTAGTGTTAAAAAAAGAAAATAGCAGGGGAGGGGGTTAAAAACAAAAGTGGCAAAATCGAGAGCCATTCCGCCAGCCACAGGAAGGCACAGAGCCTTCTTCTCCATTGCACGGTGAGGGTATCCCTGCGGGCCCACAGTCGGGGGCGCACAGCCTGGCGTGGGAGTGGGTGGGAGATGACCCCACATGCCAGGCTATGAGGCACAGACTGGGTCCCGGGGGCAGATGGAGGTGAAGGGACCAGTGAAGATTTGCTTGGGCGAGGCCAGGCAGCGGGTGGGAAGAAGTGAAATGGATGCAGTAGAGATGTTTTCATATGGCGTCCGTAAGACTCGGAGACGTGGGATGTAAGGAGTAAGGGAGGAGGGCCGTGGGTGTCCCAGGTCTCTGGCCTGGGTGCTGGGTGATGCAGTGTTCTAAGGCTCAGCACCCAAGAGGAGAGCCAGAAAGGCCCTTTATGCCACACGGGGCCCATCATCTGGGACGGGCTGTACAGCTGAGGCTGGTAATGGAATCCGTCCTGGTAGAATCAGGGGCACTTGGCACAGGGCCCTGTCCCTTGTGCTGCCTGAAGACAAATCCCTTCCACAGAGCTGGGTCACCTGACCCCTTCCAGGTCCCCTTCTTATGAACCAGACACTGACGTATTCTTACAGGCTTCTGAGCTGTATAAACAGCTTGGACAGAACACCTTTGGCTAGATTTTGACAGATTAATTTTTCCAGTCATAAATTAACCCAAGATTGTTATGGGTAATTTTTAAAAGACAAAGAAAATCCTCTTTTTAACATATTTCTCCTTTTGTTCCATGCAGTGTTGTTTGTTGGTTTGTCTGTCTCCTTATTTGGGACCCTGTGACATATTATCAAGTGAATCTTCTATCCATTTTTTAAATCTATTTCATTCCATAAGCATTTTTCCCAGGAATCATTTTCGATGGCTTTATGGTTTTCCACTGGGCAATGTGCTATAGTTACTTATCTAACCCCTGATGTTAGAAATCTCTAATTGTTTCCACTTTCATGTTATACGTGCAACAGTAAGCCCTTTATTTACTAAATAGTTTCCACATTTAAGATTGTTTTCTTAAGATGAGAATGTGAGAAATGGAGTTCCTGGGCCAAAGGAGCAATACATCTTTTTGTATGTGTGTGTGGTAAACTAATAACATAAAATGTAGCATCTTGCCCATTTGCTTGTGTACATTTGAGCAGCATCAAGCACGTTCACGTTGCTGTGAACCATCGCCCCCACCCGTCCCCAGAACTCTTCATCGTGCGGGACTGAAAGTCCGCCCCATTAAACACTAACTCCCCTTCCCCCCTTCCCATACCTCTTCATGACTGCCATTCTCCTTTCTGGGCCTGTCATTTAGGGGATGCACATTTTTAAAGTCTTTGATGTAAACGTTGTCGGACTGCCCTCCAGAGAGTTTATACCATGCACACTCCCCCTTGAGCACCTGTGTTCATTGTCTCCCTAAGAGCTTTGGGATTAATTTAAAAACAAACAAACAAACAATAAAATAAAAATAAAAACCTGATCTTCTCTAATTTGGGGAAAAAAGTACCACCTTGCTTCTGATGGCTATTTTTAATGGTGGCCCAGGATTCCACCCAGGAAGGCCACCCGTTGTGTAAATGACTGGTTCTTGTGCGGTTGTGTTTTTGACGTTTCCAGGGTTTGGGTTTTATCAGTTAACTCTGCTGTTAACATCTCTGTTCTCAAAAGCCAAACTGACTCTCTGCCCGTGTTGTTTCTCTCTTTCGAGGGCAATACGATGCGCGGGCCCGAGTCCTCATTTGCCACATGACCTCCCTCCTCCGGGTGCCCTCGGGAGAGCTGGATCTCCTTGAAGAGACGTTCCTTGAGAGCCTGAAGGAAACCAAGGAGGAGGATTCTGAGTAAGGGAGCCCCGAGACCCGGCCCCACCTGCCGGGAATCGACAACTGCCACTTGAGAACCCTTTTCAAAGAACGATCCCCTCTTTCCTTTCCCTCTGTTAAGAGATGGTGCACGGGGAGTCCCTAAGGCAGCCCGGACTCACTGTGGGGCCTTAGCAAGTCACTTCCCCCTCTGGGCCCCGGTCCTCATTCCTCGGAAGAGGGGATTGAACGGATGATCGCTAAGGGCTTGTGACTTTAACATTCTGTGGCCCCGACACTCTGCTTCACATCAGGTTCTCGTCCACGGGCCAGAATGGCCCGGGTTTAAATCCTACCTCTGACACTCTATCTGCTTTTTTGACCTTGAGCAGGTTCCCCCAGCTTCTCTGAGCCACAATATTCTTATCTATGAAATGGGAATAAGGTTAGTGTCCTCCTAGGATGGTTGTGAAAAAGGAATGTGACCATAGCATAAGGGCTGACCTGAGCCAGTCATTGGTAGGTATGAGCCCTTCCCTTCCCCCACACGCCCCTGTACCTACCAGCTGTAGAGCAGCTTTGCTGCCTACGTGTGAGTGTGTAGAGGGAAATTATCCTGGCAACGTGGCCAGAGCTCAGCTCTTTGCTTAACACCTTGCACAGGCTCTAATCTCAGAGCAACCGATCGATCCAGTCACAGCCTAATTACAGGTTCCTTGCACCAGGCACGTCTCCCAGCCTTGGGTTATGTTGGGATATGATGACTGTCTCTGAACAGCCAGGTGGTGCCAGCTCAGCCCATCTGGGAATCTAGCTCCAAAGCCAAGTTCAGAACTGGAGCCGCATCCCCTGCCAGGGTTTTGAGAAGAGAGAGGCAGTTTCTCTGAGAAACGAGGGACCTCAGTCTATTCGAATAGCCTGAAAACAGCCTAGTGTTCACTCCCAGAGCTGTGTCAGTAAAGAAACGCCTGGACCCAGGTCAGCTCCCGCTGTCACAGGGCTGCCTCGATTCTGGGGCTGGTTTGAACATGGGTAGTATCTCACAAGCCTTGAAATGAAGGAAACTCTTAGTTATTGTTTGCAAAGCTTATCGTCAGAAAGAAATCTATTACCCAGAGAACTTGTTCTAATAACACCAGTAATCAGATGAGAGATTACTTAAAAACAGAAGTTCTAACATGGCCCAGCTCTGCCACTTAACAGTTGTGTAACCTTGGACAAGTTAGTTAACTTCTCTGGGCCTCAGATTCCTCATCTGCAAAATGGGGCTAATAATAATAACACCCTGCTCATAGGGTTCTTGGGGGATTCAAATGAGTTCATACATGTAAAGTGCTTCGAGCAGGCCTTGGACAGACTCATTAGTTGATAAATATTATTTGCTATAGTATCTGTTATCATTGCTGTTATTACCATGTATGAGTCCTTTCCTCAAAAGAATACTCTGTGTGTGGAATTTTAAATTCAGTGTTAGGGACTCTGGAGACCTCTCAGGTTCTACCTATGGCCTCTGGAAGGGCCTGAGACCCAGGAAAAGGATAGTGAGTGTTTGGCCTTGCTCTCAGTTTGATTCTGCTACCAAGTCTCTGTGTGGCCCTGGACACGTTGCTTTCCCTCTCTAGGCAGCGGCACCAGTTTTTTCACCAATACAAGCAGAGGATCGAATTATATGTAGGTTTCTTCTAACTCTAAGGTTTTGTGTTTCTGCAAGGCGAGCTTATCACTCGGCACCCCAAGGTGATCCTTTGCAGCTGGGGCTCAGGGTGTGACGCACGTCCTCGCTGTTCTCGGGTCCCCATCTGAGCCGCAAGGCCATCCAAGCTTTCCCCACTCGTTTGATGACGTCACTCCTTTGCGCCTCAGTTTCTTCATCTCCAACCCAGGGCTTAGGGTAGTGTCTCCCTCATTAGGCGGTTAAGAAGATTAAATTAATGAATACATATCAAAAGCTTGGAACAGTGCCTGGTACACAGTAGGCCTCCATAAACATTCGGCCATGCCCTGCTGGAGGCTGACATTGGTCACGTAATAATAACATTATCAGGATCTAACTTTTATTGAGTGTTGACTAGATGCAGGCCCACGCTGTCGCCTCATTTGGTGGTTATAACAATCTCCTGAGAGTTTTGCAGGTAAAGAAACAGAAGGAGGAGTGATGTGACTCGCCCAAGGCCACACGGCTGATCAAGGCACCATCTGATATTACCACTATATCCAGGGTCGAACATCCCAGGTTCCCTCCTTAATCTGAAGAAAGCAGTAAAGATAGTTCTTTTATGAGGCTTTCCGAGCTTTTACTAGGAAAGAGTCTCTAAATTTCCCTGCGATAAGCTCTCCCTTTCTATCAACCAGAGAAAGGGATTAAAGCAAACAAGAGGGTGGTGGTGAGGACCAAAGGGTAAAGAACACTCTCTTGGAGGAGATAAGGTGGCAGGGAGTGAAACTGGTTTGTGGGACAGTGAAATGGGCAGCGTGGCCCCTTGCTGTTCACGGGGCTTCTGTGGCTTCAGCCTGGGACCTGCGTTTAGGCTTCTGCCTCCATCTTTGGGAGGCTGACACAGGACACCAACTCAGGGTCATTTCTGGCTTTCCGGAACCTGGGTGTGGCCATGATACCTAACCGACGAGCAAAGTCAGTAACAGAAACAGGACTTCCTTTGCATCGGTGCCCTGAATTCTCACTTCCAAATATAGGGCGTGTCCTCGATGCAGCTCGGAGTGCATGTCTCCTCCTGTGCTTTAGACTTTGAAATTCGGGCAATTGAAGTAATAGCAGGAAAAAAAAATATATGTGGTAATTAACGATGGCTGGGAAAGCCCTTTATTTTATGTACAAAATAGTTACTAAGAACGTTCGAGTACCTACATAGATAAGGAAATAGATTGGCTATTCCATTGAACATTACAAGACAGTGCCTCAGCTAAGTAACTTCAGGGACGCTATTACATTCTTTTTGATTCAGCAAATGTTTAGAAACATTTACATAATAATACAAAGCACAATACTAGAGATTAGAGTATATGGTCCATCTTTGTAAAATGGATTTGATATACAAGCATTCATGCCTTTAAATAAAACAACCTCAAGAACGATTGCAATGTATTTACTTTTTAGTTACTTTATTCCCGTGGAGCTATGCATTTCCGCTCCATAAGCTCAGCAAAATGTGCTGACTGTCCAGTGTTCTCAATGTGCAGATGCCACTGCAGGAACAATCTAGAGGCAGACGGTGCTGAGAAATGTCAAGGGCACCCGCTCAAAAATTGGACTATGTTCTTAAAAATAAATCTGTAGTAATCATTAAAATTTTATAACCTTCCAGATTTGTGCTCCTATCCCAGGATTTGGGATTTTTTTTTTTTAATTACAGTTTGCATTCAATATTATGTTGTATTATTTTCAGGCATTCAGCATAGTGGTTAGACAATCCAATACTTTATAAAGTGCTTCCCTCAATATTTCCAGGACACATCTGGCACCATCCTTAGCTATTAAACCAGAATTTCATTCTTGGCAGCAACTGGCCTGTACTGTCCCGAGCTCCTCTGGTTTTCCTAGATATGGACAGTGAGTGAGGGAATAGATCTCTGCAGCAAGAGGTTCACAGCCCATCCTGGTCGGAAGGACTCAGTTCTGCTCAAGAAACATTTTCTGCGCACCCCTCAGGTCCCGAGCCCGGGGCCAGCAGCCACAGGTGGAGCGCAGGAAAGGCTCAGCCTATACCCTGAAGGTTTGACCCCGCGGTCATCAAACTGGAGAAAGAGCAGGTCCCTGGAGAGCTTGTTACAGGCAGTTTCCTCGCCCTCACACCCAGAGCTCTGGGCCCAGGAAGCTGTGCTTTGAACAGCTACCCCCTGGGGATTCTGATGCAGTTGATGCAAAGCCCACCCTGAAAATCGATGGTCTAGAACTGCAGGCTAATTCCATCTGGAGGTTTAGAGGGCCCAGAGTCAGGGCATTTAAGTAACCTTGGGGCTTGAGCAGGCTTCCTGGAGAAGGTGACTCTTAAACGATGTTCTTCGAGAAGTCCCTTGGCCAGAGGGCCAGTGGGAACACAGGCACTGAGGTGTAGAGGCAGCGTGCCGGTGGGAGGTCAGTGTTTCTGGAAGGCAAAGGGTAAGTCAGAAAGACGCGAGCAACAAAACAACCCAAAAACCAACTCCCAGCAACAGAGACCGCAAGGACGGGTACCCAAAGGGAGGGGGTGGGGGTAGGTGAAAAGGAGAAGGGGTCAATAATATTGTGATAAGTGTGCACGGTGCGGTGGTCACGTTGTAAGCTATTAAAACGTCAGATCACTATATGGTATACCTAAAACTAATATAGCCAGTATAAGATTGTATATCAACTATACTTAAATTTCAAAAAGTATTATTATTTTTTAAAGTGGTGAGCAGTGAATCTGTGAAGGAGGCAGGCGTGTCATGGAGGGCCTGGGCAGGAGACGCTGTTCTCAGGAAGAGAGAGGGCTGGGAGGGGGCGGACAGTAGTGGCCATACTTCCTGCTTGACCTTGGTCACTGTGGTGGTGCCATCACCACCCTCCCATTTACAGTCCCCAAGAGAGAAAATACAGGCTCAGGAAGAACTGGGCGAGGTCATGGCGGAGCTGGGCTCCAACACCTGTGCCCCACGCACCCAGTCTGTCCCAGGCAGTGTTTGTCGGATGAGACGACGCCGACCCGCGAGGCCCACTGCCCGCCCCCTTGTAGGTCCCCTTCTGTGTTCCCGTTGTACATCCTCAACAACTTGAATTTTTGCTCTGACCTTGACCTCTGCCAAAAGCAACTTGTTTACAGCCTTCCTATCTTTGCACTGATTAGTGCTAGCAATTAAGGGCCAAAGTATATCTCGCGTGTTTAGGAGGAAACTGTCGTTGATAATGAACACAATGATAATAGCAACAAACATATCGGACAGACTACCATATGCCAGTATTGTATGTGGATTGTTGCCTGGAGCTCCCACAACACCCCTGGGAATTAAGTACTATCGTCATCCCCACTTGTTGGATGAGGACGGGGCTCTCTCCTTCAGGGTGCCCATTTGCTGCAGTAACAAATGGCCTCCAAATCTCAGTGACTTAGAGCCGCACAGGTGCATTTCTTGTCCATACGACATGCCCACTGCAGAGTGGCTGTGGCGTTAGTCCACACTGTCTTGGTTCAACAGGGTAGGGATGTGCACTCTTCCCATCAAGAGGACCAGGGCAGGGAGGGCTAAGAGAGGATTCGGTGAGCGATGGGTGACACATGAGCACCCCTGCAGAGGAGGGACTCAGGCCTGTGCTGGCAGGGTTGGAGTCCTGACCTCAGAACCCAGGCGCTTACTCACCGTCCGCCTTCCGCTTGACTAGACCTGTGCAGTTCTCCCTCATCCCGCACGTCCGATGCACTTCAGGCAGGGAGCGCAGGCGCCTGCGATGCGCGCGGAGATTGTTATCCTCGCTTTCCGCTTCTCTGTGGTGAAACCTCTGAGAAGCATTGTGCTGTACACCCAGGAGCTGCTCAGGACAAAAGTCGGTGGCGCTGAGCTAGCAGAACACCAAAAAGCAGAGCAGATCCCCGAATGCCGAGCTCAGATCCCGTTTCTTTTGGATGCCTGGGGGATGGCCTCAGGTGTGGTTCATGAGGAAAGAGATGGGAAGGAAACAGGTATTGGACAAACTGCCTTGTTCTGCTCACCGGCACGTGGCACCCAGAGGGGCCCGCATGTCGTCCACTCTCAGACAAACTGTGTGGATTGAATGGAGGAAGGAGGAATGAATTTAAGCCTTACGAACCAGCTGCCTTAAGAGGTAGATGTCATTATCCCCATTGTACAAAAGAGGAAGCTGAGGCTCAGGGAGACGCAGGAGCCCCCCCCTCCCCCCGTTACCACTCTCAGTGTGCCCTTGTGCCGCGTGCTTGGCAGACGTTCTCCTCACTGGTCTCACAGGCCCTCCCACAGGCCGGCCCTTACTTTGAACACGGGGACAGAAATAACACTGCCTTGTGGAGAAGCTGTACCATCTGAGATACAAAGCATGGCAGCTGGCACGCAGGCATTTCTCAATAAATATTAACCATTCCCCTTTCATCATCATCGGCTATCGGTCCGCACATCAGGCTGTCCAAACTCCAGCTTCAGGCCAGAGTTCACGCTCATAGCAACCACCCCAACCTGCTCCTAGTTGTCCCAAAGCACCGAGGGCTGGGTGTCTGCCAGGGAGACGGGGCCTGGTGACGCTCCTGAGCCCTCACAGTGGTTATGCGCAGGACTCACCTGACCCCAGTTCACGCTAAGTGCTTTCCTTCTGCTGCATGTTATAGCTTTTAAGTTTGAAGTCTGAACAATTCGAGCTATGGCCCCAAGGCCAAGGTCTCCAGGGCAGACATCTCTCTAGTAACCCATCTTTGAAATGATTAGCCCGAAGGAAATTGGTTTCCAAATATCCCAGAGGGAGGCGCGCTCAGCTGTTGAGGGGAAAGGAACGAAGGAGGGGGGCAATGGAGTCTGTGATTCTATTTGGTACTCGTCTGGGTCCATCTGTTAAAAGATAATTTTTGTGCTTCTTTTACTATTACTGTTATTTTCTTGTCTTTCCACTATTCAAATTGCAACCCTGTTAGGATGGATCCTTTGGGTAAGTAGCTCATCCCACGCACTGGGATTCCCCAGATGGGTTTTAAGATATTTTCAGCATTGTAGAAGCATCGATGGGCCCAGGGTGACTTTGGTACCTTGCTCTGAGTGACAGAGTACCCAGCATTGCTCCCAGTCTGGGGGTTGGTGGGCTGGGGAGGTCTCAGGGTGTCCTAGGCACAGCTGACCCTAAAAACCAACTTCTTCACCCCCAGAACGGCTGAGGCATCCAGGAAGAAGAAAGAAAACCGGAGGAAATGGAAGCGCTATCTCCTGATAGGCCTGGCAACCGTCGGAGGTGGGACAGTGATCGGTAAGGCCAACTCGAAGTGAGATGGTGGCCCATGGGCCAGTGCGGGGCAGAGTGAGGGATGTCGTCAGCCTGGGATCGGAGAGCCAGGAGATGGGCTGGAAGGTGCCCCCAGGTGCATAGTAGGTTCTCCTTCAGCAGAGTATCATTAGTATTGTTAGAAGCCTCCGTGGAAGGCAGTGGGCAGCTGACGGGGGGAGAACCCAACAGGCCATGTCTTCATTCCCACATTTACCCTGCTTTCTTTGCAGGTGTGACCGGGGGTCTTGCTGCCCCTCTTGTTGCCGCGGGGGCCGCGACAATCATTGGCAGTGCCGGGGCGGCAGCTCTGGGCTCGGTGGCCGGCATAGCTGTCATGACCTCACTGTTCGGTGCGGCTGGAGCTGGCCTGACAGGTGAGGGTCAAGAGCAGTAGTGGCTGTGAGGGGTTTTCAGCCAGGGTGGCCCAGCTCCTAAAGGACGCTCTCAGGTTCTTCCCTGTGAGAGCTCCCCGGGAGATGGAGGAGGAGCACATAACCTTCCTCACGTCGGGTTCTAGCCCTGCCAGAACTTGCAGAAGACTTCACAGAGAACTGAGCGAGAGCTTGGCATGGGTTGCTCTAAGGGCTGGGTTTGGGAAACTGCATCTTGTGTAGACTTCCTGAGAAGGGTCTCATTAGACCTGCTTGCCACCATTTAGGAAGTTTCCCCACAGGCCTCCTCAGAGACCCTTGGGCTTCCTCGTGTAAGAGAGCACATGGCTACCTGTCATGTACCAGCATCTTCTGGGAGAGTCTTCCCAAATCATGTGTCCAGCAGCCCCCAAGTCCCACACAGATTCCTGCTCCACTCCTCAAATGGGGTGTCACTTCCTGCATTGAGAATCTTGGTCAGTTTGATCCACTTTTACTGAAAGGGGTATAGTGCACCCCTGAAGTTTGTGGACTGGAAAAATGACCTAGAACCGACTGAGTGAGGACAGAGTGGTGGTTGTGAGCCCGGGCTCTGCGTTCCACCCCAGGTCTGCTGCTCAGGGGCTGGCCAGCCCGTGGAAGCCTCTTGCCCTCATCTGTAATTGGGGACAATAATGGCACCTACCTTAATGAGTTGAAAAATGAGACACTTGTCCAAGGACAGGGCACACAGTTGGCGCTCGCTGTGCAAGATGTGAGCACAGAGAGCCACTCTGACGAACATTCCCCGGGGTCCCCAGTCACCTCCATTCTCATTTTTGTGTCTGGGCCCTTAGGATACAAGATGAAGAAGCGTGTTGGGGCTATCGAGGAGTTCACTTTTCTGCCTCTGACGGAAGGCAGGCAGCTGCACATCACCATCGCCATCACGGGGTGGCTGGCGTCCGGCAGATACCGTGAGGACTGAGTGGAGGGACAAGGATGTAAAGCGGGATAGACGTTGGCTGAGCTGGGCCTGCTGCTGTGGGCCAGAGCGTGGCCTAGGCTCTTGCCTGTGTATGTTTTTAGAGGGTGGGAGAGGAGGCCCACTTTGCAGAGGAAGAAACAGACTCAGAGCAGTGAGGAGACGTCATCCCACATCCATCTGCTCCCCCATCCGCCTGCCATCCGCCTATCCACGCCCCATTCATCCCGCTATCCATTCATCCACCCATCTATCTACACGTCGCCTATCGTCCATCCATCATTCATCCATCCAACTATCTGTCATCCTACTATCCCCCTATCTATACATCCATCTACCCATCCCTCTGTTCACACGCACTTCCACCTCTCAATCTGTCCATTCAGCAATATGCATAGGGTACTATACATACCATGTGCCAGACACTGAGTCAGACCCCAGGCATTTAGTGGTGAGCAACACAGTTGCAGCCTCTGCTCCCGTAGAACACCTGGTCTGAAGCAGAAGACAGGCCATTAAGCAAGTAATTACAGGGAAGCTTTATGGGTGGCACAATAGAAAAGTACAGGGTATCTGCAGAATGAGGGAAGGGTTCCAAGAAGAAGTGACATTCAGACTAAGGATTGACTGGGAATTAGCTGGGTAAAGAGGGAGCAGGAAGTATATACCAAGCAAAGGCCGAGCACGTACAAGGGCCCAGGGGTGCAAAGAACCAAAAGGAGCACAGAATGCTAGAGTAGAGCAGGGAGCTAGGGGGCAGACGTGTGGGCAGGGCCAGAGCAGATCACACAGGAGCATGTGAGGCGAGGAGTTTGAATTCATCCTGAGAGCAGGTAGAAGATAGCAAAGGACTTAAGCACATAGGTGAGAGATCAGTATGCCTTGGCTGTGTGACCTCAGGCACATTACTTACCTCCCCTGTGCCCCAGCTGTTCATTTGTAATGTGAACAGCTTACTTATTCCTGCCTTTCAAAGGACTTACAAAGATTAAATTAAACAAGGTAATTTCTAGAAGGCCCCTAGATCCTAACTGGCATTCCGCCAACATAGCTCCCTCTGCTGCTCTAACTCAAATGTGGGTTTTCCACCCGGGCGGCACGGAGGACTAACAGCATGGTCCGCTCGCTGCCTGGCTCACATCTGCAAGTGCCCAGTGTGAGGCCCAGCGAGCAGTTCATCACTCAGAGGGAGATGAGGGTGGGCCGGGGAACCCAGGGCACACAGCCAGACACACGCGCTCAGGGCCTCCCGGTTCCGGGGTCTCTGGGACCCGGGGGTGGAATCCACAGCTCTTCTACATGACCCGAAAGAAAGCAGGTGAGGAATCCAGATGACAGAGGACCTGCGTGTTGCCTGGAGAAGTGGTACTATCCTCAGGGCAGCGAGAGGGCAGGAGGGACGGAGAGAGAGGCCTATTTAGTAGTGGCCATACTTCCTGCTTGACCTTGGTCACTATGGCGGTGCCGTCACCACCCTCCCTTCACAGTCCCCGAGAGAGAAAATACAGGCTCAGGAAGAACTGGGTGAGCCGGCGAGATCATGGCAGAGCTGGGCTCCAACGCCTGTGCCCACGCACCCAGTCTGTCCCAGGCAGCGTTTGTCGGATGAGACGGTGATGACTCACGGGGCCCACTGTTCGTCCCCTTGTGTGTTCCTATCGTGCGTCCTCAGCAGCTTGATGCCAGCGTTAATGCAGGATGACAGGAAAATGCCACTTTATAGCAGTTCACACTTAATTCTTACAACTGCTCTGTGCAGGGAGAGAAGTATTCATCTTCCCACTTCACAGATAAGTGAAGCGAGGCTGAGGGGGATAGAGTGATGTGCCAAGGTCACCCGTCTATGAATGAATGCAGGAGCTGGGACTCAAACCCCAGCCTGCTGACTCATAGGATGGCGCCACGCTCCATCTAGGTGCTCCATCCACTCCACTGACAGCTGCCACTCATCGGCAGGGGTAGGCCTCTTGTCTCCCCCTGAGGATGAATGGTCCCCTGTCTGGAAAAATGGGGTGGGGTTTTCTCTGGCACAGACAGGAGAGACCCCACCTACCTGTGTCCTCCCCAGGCACCTTCAGCGCCCCATGGGCCACCCTGGCACACAGCCGCGAGCAGTACTGCCTAGCGTGGGAGGCCAAGTACCTGATGGAGCTCGGCAACGCCCTGGAGACCATCCTCAGTGGTCTCGCAAACATGGTGGCCCAGGAGGCTCTAAAGTACACCATGTTGTCCGGTAAGTCTTCCCGTCCCCACTGCCAGTAGCGTGCCCACTGCTCCCAACCCACGCTGGCACCGTGCATTTGCATCCCGGAGGCCCCCGCTGAGCCAGGCATTGTGCTGGACCCTAGGAATGCAGAGAGGCTAAGACTGCACTGCTGTCTGAGAAGCGCAGAGCCTTCGTGGGGAGGGGACAGGTAGACAGCCAGTCACGTTACCACACAAGGTATTATGTCAGCTCATTATTGCCGCCTAAGAAGCCACCCCAAAACTGAGTGACTTAAAATAATAATCATTTATCATATGCTGGGCCTGCTCATGCATCTGTGCTGTCCGCTGATCTACATTAGCCTCATCTGAGACAACTAGGGCAACGCGGCTCCCCCCGACCTGTCTCTCATCCCCCTCCCGGGATCAGCAGCCCAGCCCACACCAATGGCAGAGTACGGGAGAGGCCAGCCTCCGCACACAAGTCCATCTGAAGTCTCACATCTAGTAACATCTCATTGGCCAAAGCAAGTCACGTGGCTGAGCCCACAGTGGATGGGCAGGACAGGGGCAGGCACGCTGCAGAGTCATGAGGCTAAGTGGGAAGGTACCAGGTGAAGTGAAAAATTGGGGCCATCTTTGGAATCTCACGCATGACAGATGGCTGAACAGAAGGGATCTAGTCCATGTGCCAGAAACGCACGAGCTCCCGTTTTCTCCTTCACCATTGAGCATTTTGACGACACTGGGAGAACTTACGGGTCCCAAGGTAGAGACTCTGTGTGCACTCGCCCGGGCATCCCTTAGCCAGCCAGCCACTTCCCAACAAGGACCCCCACTGCCTACATCACTGCCATATCACCTTCCCAGGCATTGTGGCTGCCCTGACCTGGCCGGCCTCACTCCTCAGTGTCGCCAGCGTCATCGACAACCCTTGGGGTGTGTGTCTCCATCGGTCAGCAGAGGTTGGCAAGCACCTGGCCCACATCCTGCTCTCCCGGCAGCAGGTACCTGGGAGCCGCTGCGGGTGGGGGCCCAGGGGGGAAACGAGGGGGCCGACTTGCGCATAGATGTCAGCCCTAAAGACGTCTACGTGGAGGTGGCCCAGGGGCTTTGGGGAGTGGGTGGTCTTTGCTGCTCCTCCAGTTCAAGTCACAGAAGTATTCTAGGATGAACAAGAAAGTATTATAGACTCTGCCCCAGGTTCGTAGCATGTAGGTGAGGACTGAATAACAGAGGCCCCTGCAGGTATAGACAAGGCCCGGTGTTTCTTCCTGGAAGTATAGAGCAACCCTTTGAGCACATTGCCAGTGGTCCAAACGCCATGGGACGTCGTCCAGGTTACATCCACATTCCAGACAGTCAGAGGCAGGAAAGTGGAGTGAAGGGCATGCCTGGAAGTCACACCTATTGCTTTCCTCCACATCCCTGGCCAGGACTCAGTCCTGTGGCCGCCCCTAGCTACAGGGGAGTTAGAGAAACCCAGTCTGTCTTTGGCTGGGTAGCCCAGGAAAACTCGGGAGTTCTATCACCAAGGACATGGGTGGATGCATGGGTGTTGGGAGATGAATAGCAGCCTTTTCCACAAGTTTCCTGCAGAATTGGAGTGTTGTTTAGTGGTTTAGTGGTTTAGTGGGAGGGGACGGTGGCTACTGGTACTGGCACAAAACAAGGAAAAAGAATAGACTGGTGAGACCAGACTGGGCCTTTGGAGCTCGTCTGTGCTTTCCCTCTCCTTCCAAGTAGAACTTGTACCGAAACACCCCATATAACTTTCTTTTTCTTCTAAGTTGCCTTTTCTACAAGTGCTTCAGTCAGAAAGTCCCTCTTTACGTCTAACTCACCACTTACTCTTATAATGCAAGGCCAATATTTCCCGTGCCCCCTGCCTATTTAGAAACAACAGCTGTCCCTCCCATATCACTCTGCCTTTTTCTCCCATCGCACCTGGAGGGTAGCTTCCGCCTCCCCTCCCCAGCTCCAAAAGCGCCCCACGTCACTTGCCACGAGGTAGGTGAGTCCTGCCTGCGGGAGCAGAAGAGACCTGCGACTGGATCACGGTGTGAGATGGAGGGGAATAAACCCAGCCAGAGGCTGCCTGTGGGCCTGGGGGGCAGCCGACTCCGGCGTCATGTGCTCTCCTGCGTTAATGGGCCCTGACTGTCCTGATTGAGACGTCAGATCTCGGGGGGCCGGGAATGGCACAGGTGTCATTCATTAAGTTCAAGGCAGGCTCTGAGGAGTGTGTAAGGGGCTGATGTTTTGCTAGAACCAGCCGTGTCCCGTCCCAGACACCTGTGTCCTTTTCCCCCCAGGGCCGGCGACCTGTCACTTTGATCGGCTTCAGCCTGGGAGCCAGAGTCATCTACTTCTGCCTGCAAGAGATGGCTCAGGAGAAAGGTGAGCCTGGCTTATTGTCACAGGAGCAAACCCTTCCTGAGTTCATCCCCTAGTCCGGCGGTTCGGGAGCAGGACTCGTGAGTCTTGTGAAAGTGTTCCCAGCTTTAAGAAGTAGTAGTTTGCCATTTGAAACGGTTTGAACATAGACAAAATCATTAAGGCATTTGGAAAGTGGTTTATGTTTTCTGTGCATAAGTTAAAGTGGATGCGAGACAGTCCTACAATAACGACATTGGCCTTGGCGTTCTGATGCACGTTCTTGAATGGGAGGGAAAGGGGCGGGACGAAAAATTCAAAATCGAGGTGTTGACAGAGTCACGCCCCTTCTTCTGGGTCCCGGGGCGGCCCCTACCTTGCCTCTGCCTGCTGCTGGGGGCTGCCGCCCCCTCGGCATTCCTAGGCTCACGGACGCATCGCTCCAATCTCTGCCTCCACTGTCACGCCGCCTTCTCCTTTCTGTCTCCTCTTCTAAGGGCAGGTCGTTGGATTTATTTAGGGTCCACCAAATCCAGCGTGATCTCATCTCAGGATCCTTACCTCATTACATGGCATAATTTAATAACCGCCGCTAAGACATCTTTTCCCTGTAAGGTCCTGTTCACAGGTTCCAGGTGGATGTGTCTTTTGGGGGCGGGGCGCCAATCGACCCCCCCGCAGATAGCTCTGGGAGTGTATCGTGCCCTCCATGGCATACTTTTCTGTCCAAGGCAGTGGGAAGCCTCGGTGGGTGAGGTCTCCAGGAGAGAGAGTCGGTTTGGGGCAGATCTGTCAGCAGAAGCTGCCATAGGAGAGGGTTGGGGGGCTGAGAGGCAGAGCTTGGAGCTCTTGGGAATCATCCACAGTGCGTGAGACCCAGACTAACCTCTCTCCTGGTGAAGCTGAGCAGCAGCAGGGCCCTGAAGGCTAGAGGGATTGAGACAGGGAGTCCTTGTCCTGAGAGCAGAGGGCAGATGAAAGAGGCTGGAGTCACACCCAGCATTGTTATTCAGGGCTGTTTTGTATGCGTCTCTGAACCTCAGCTTCCCCACTTGCAAACCAGAGTTAATAATTCCCACGCTATGCGCTCGCTTTGAGGAGCAAGTGAGGAACCCCATGGGGAGCATGTTTGCAAATTATAAAACCCATCGTTGACCAAATTCAGCTCAAGGATGTCAGTTTGCAGCTTCTGCTCTTCAGAGTGTTTGCCAGCCTAAGGCTACCCCTGAAGATGCCGCCTGGTCACTCCCCTTGGTCAGCCCCACTGTGTGATCTGATTGCTGACCAACTGCCAGCATGCCGGGCGGGGGGCGCTGCGGTGAGAACGTCCGCCGTTGGTTGGACCTGAGAAAACACGATGAGTCAGGGCTGACTGGTGTTATTTTCAGTGTTGGCGTCACCAGCGGGCATGGGAGGGACCCTGGGGCTCAGGAGCGTGATTCATTCCTGTTCTTTATCTTTTGCTTAAATGGACTGAGGATCAAAGCTGTTTTCTTGGTCGCAAAGGCAAGGTGGACGTGCCGTCCTTGGCATTCACTATGGAGGGGCCAAGCCCCGGGTGTGAGCCCTGCAGTGGGCCTCACCGCCTCCTCTGTGCCATTCGGGAGGACCCTGAAGCCCCGTGTAGCTTTCAGCAGCCTCTTTTTACCTGGTTTTGTCCACATCAGTAAGCAATGGAGAGGCACCTCTATCCTATTTCCAGTGGCTTTGGGTGACCTGGGACCTCCCTGCAGAAAGAGCTGTTTTCAGCAGGAAAATCCAGCCTAAGATCAGAGGTCAGGCAAAGACCACTGAGGACACAGGGCTGAATCCAGAGCTCTGGTAAAGGTGAGCTTCCATTTTTACCGCAGGCAGCATTGTGCCTTCCCTTTCATGCTTCCCCCTCCCCTGGCATCAGCAGAAACAGAGCAAGTCAAAAAGGCATCCTTCACCGGCCTTTCCTGCTCTACCTGCCATAGATAATCTACCCAGGACCTTATGGCCTGCTGGGAGGAAGCCCTGAGTACCTACAACATGTCTGCATCCTCAACTCTTCACTCCCTCCAGTAAATGGCCTTGATGAGCTGCAGCAACACCACTGAGTCCTACTGCACAATGCCATGTTCTATGTTCCCACAACTTTGCGCGAATAACTATACTGTCAGAATCTCTGTTGGGAAAAATAGGGGGACTATCTCTATCTCTCACATGAAACCCAGCCTCTGCTATAAAAATGTGTAGGTTAAAGAGAGGCAGGATGGGTGCATCAGTCAGCTATTGCTACAGTGATGCCGCATAACAAACCACCCCATACTCAGAGGGTTACAACACCCAATATCTACATGCCCAGGATCTACAGGTTGTCTGTGGTTCAGTTGCTCTAAAACAGCCTCTGTTTCTGGTTTTGTGTTGGACAGGCTCAGCCCCAGAGTGTGGGCTGGGCCAGATCTGCTCCATGTGTATTTGTCTCCATGAGGCAGAAGAGGCAGCAGCCACCAGGGCTTGCCCTACTTCTCATCCATCGCTTGGGTGCCAGAGCCAAGCCAAACCACACATGCTCACTTAAGACCTCTGCTCTTGTAGTATTTACTAACATTCTGCATCAGTTTTTTATCACTGCCGACAACCTATCCCAACACAGCGGCTTAAAACATTCTATATCAGTTATTTGTTATTGCAAACAACTTATTCAAACATAGTGGCTCAAAGCAGCAATAACTGATTATTTGTCGCAATTCTATGAAGGGACTAGGCCGCCCTCCTCTCATCTCACTCACGCAGTTGCGGACAGCAGGAACACCTGGGAGCTCTAAGGCGACCTCACTCCCTGTCCGGCAGTTTGTGCTGGCCATCAGCCAGCGTGTCTCAGCCCTTCCCCAGACTTCTCACCCTCCAGCGGGCTCACCTGGCTTCCTCCGTGGTCTTCTCAGGACCACGTTTCCGGATGTCAAGAGTGAAACCTGCAAGCCCTCTGAAGGCCAAGATTCCAGAACGCATCACTTCCGCCACATTCTGTTGGTTAAAACAAGTTGCAGGCCTGATCAGATTCAAGGGGATGAAGTAGGAAATAGATTCCTCTTCTGGGTGGGAGAAGCGGCAAAGAATTTTTGGCGATTTTTAATCTTCCACATGTTCTGTTTGCCAAAGCAAGGGATGGCCAGGCCCTAGGTCAGTGGGGCGGGGCAGTGCACTCCGCATACAGCGGTGCCGGAGGGGAGTGAGTAGTTGCCAGGCAGTAATCCAGACTCTAAGACTAACCCAGACTCTCATGCTGGGGAAGGAAAAGCCTAGGCTTCGCAGTCATCTGAGACCTGGTCCTGAGTCCTGCCTCTGCTCACCTGGGTGGCCTGGGTAAGGCAAGGATGCAGCCTCCCTGGATGTGCATCTCTCCATTTGCAACAAGAGATTAATGTCACCTCTGGGCAGTGGCAGAGGCCGGAGAACATGGAGGTCAGGCAGCCAGCCCTGTGCTGGGTCCTGGTCAACACGCCCTCTAGCAACCCCCAGGCTGAGGTCGCTGCAGGTCCTGCGGGCAGCCGCAGGCTCGCCTTGCTCTCTGAAGCTGCTCCCCCAAGGAGAGGCTCTTGAAAAGCTGTCATTCTCTGTGCTGTCATCATTTTGCTCCTTTCCTAGCCATCTTTCTGCCAACCCATGCAGCAGACCATCTGGCCATCTGCCAGGCTCCTCATTACCGAGAGCAACGTGATCTTATTAATAAGACTGATTCTCAATTTGGAAGAGAAAGGCATGTCTTTGGCTACAATTGGCATAAATTACATGTTAACTTCAGACCACTAATACAAGCCAAATCTTCAGTTCCTTTGCTGATCCCATTGAATTAATTACCATTTTCCGTTTGGCCGTGGCAATCGGAAGTGAGTTCGCCCGTGAGCTGCCTCTGGAATGTGAGGCTGAAAACTGGCAGAAGGAAGGCAGGTGGCCTCTGGGTGGCAGGGCTGATCAGTGAGACACCGAGGTGTTCCTGCACCTCAGCCTTTTGGGGGAAGGTTCCCAAAGCAGCTGCCTTTCTGCCTCTTTCCTGGTCCCTGGTCCCTGCTCCCTCTGCTGGATTTTTATGGCCCGCCAGTAAGAACTGGGGCTTTGGTATTAGGTGGACTTGGATTTGGGTCCTGACTCTGTCACAGACTAGCTGCGGGACCTTGGGCAGGTCACTTAATCTCTCTGATACTCAGCTTCTTCACCTGAATATGGGGCATAGAGCACTTACCTTGGAGTCTCATGGGGAGATTAAAGTGAGACAATGAATAAGCAAAATACCTGCCCCAAATAGGATGAACGTTCCTGCCGCTGAACTAAATCTGAGGACCTACTGTGCATGGAGAACTATGGTGCGTGTCACGTAGAAAGAGGAGCTCATCATTTTGTGTTCCCTTTCCAGCCCCGTGTTAGGCTGTGAACTCCGTGGAGGCGCAATCTGCCTGTGCCCCACCATCTGCCTGGCGCCTGGCACACGAGTGCTCAGGAAGATGGAGGAACCTGACTTTGGGTGAGGGACTCAGGCACATGTTGCTCTGCTCATGAGCCAGGTTCAAATTCACCGTGTGCGGAACACTAACCACTTCCATGTGGGATCTCAGTCTACCTCACAGCAGCCCTATGGGTGTATGCTCTGGGCTTCATGGATGAGAAAACTGTGGGCTCCGGGGTGAGACATGCAAATCCTAAGTGCCAGAGCCAGGACTTGCCCCCAGAGCATCTGGCCCTCACTCCTAACCACGTGCTGTGCTTTGCAGGGGGCCTTGACCTTGAACGATGGGACGGGGTCATCCAGTGGAGCTAGAGGGAAAGAACACGCATGGGAGGGTTGAGTCAGCAGGGCCGAGGCAGGCTTCCCCAGAGCACCTGGGATCATTAAGTCTAGTGTTTCTCTAGCCGGTGAAAGAGGACTGAGGTGGAACAGTGGGAAATGGTTAGGACGGCAGCCTGGTACAAGGCCTCCCACGCCTGGCTAAGGGGTCTGACCAGGGTGGTCCCTGAATCGAGGAGTAAATGCGTAGTTGGGCGGGTCCTGTGGGCGGAAGAGC